TATTGGAAAAGCTCAGCAGGAGGGGTAGCATCTGTGGAGAGAAATCAGAGTTAACATTTTGGGTTGAGTAACCCTTCCTCAGAATTGAGGTGTTACTGGATTTGTCAATTTGTTGTACCACTCTCCCTCCTTCACCATTGATGATTTTGTTTCCAGTAAATTCTAGGAAAAGGGTAAACTTCTTTTAGTCTGAATGCCTGATGTTGCATTTCTGTGTTTGATAGCACACTCCACAACTGGAGTGAATAATATCGGTAACAAATGTTGTGCTAGCTTTTCACTGTGGAGGTCTTTGTCTCCAGGAGATTGGCTCAGACAACGCTAACATTTTATGTTGTGAGGTGTGCCCTTACCCCTTTCATAAAATATTATAAACCTTTTATTCCCATTACGGATCTCTCCTTTATTGGCTTATTTGGTAGGACTAAGGTTTCAGATCCTCAGGTCAGCCCTGCAAGGGTGGGTGAGTATATTTTGTTTACCATCCATAGGTAGTGCAGAACTATCTAACCCAGAACAGTCCAGTCAAGGGTCAAAAGAATGTGAAGGGAGGACTCAGTACAGGAGGCAGAGCTGTGCTCTTGGGCTGCGATGTGTGTGCAGATCATAGGTGAAGCTGTGCAGATTAAACCAGACCACTTGGTAGTAAAAATAAATATGGAGTATTGCTGGGAACAGTCGCCCCAGCAGATGAGAAGTGGGCTGATCCCACAGGATTCAACGTTTAATTGGCTTTGAGTTTGAAAAGCAGAAATCTTTGTTTGAAGTTACGATGGCACCGAGATGGTTTAAAATGTGACTTATACATAATTTAGTGGAAAAGGCATGATCGTTGATACTGGGTGATGGTGACTCTGAATGTGTCCCTGATAGGCTTCTGAAAGAGGTTATGAAAGGAACAACTGAGTTAGAAACAGTCCAGAATAAATTAGCCTACGGTGCCCATTTGTGTCTTTTACAGATGCGTAAGGAAAGTAAAAAAGAGTTGCAAGAATTGGTAAAAGAGCAGCAGGGTTAAAATGATTGGCAACAGGAAAGCAAGGTCCCCATTGTCATGTGTCATCCGTGCCATGAGTAAGAGTAGGAAATGGCTGCTGAGAGACCTTGTGTTGTGACTAGACAAGTTAATTATTGACATTAAAATAGATCCTGAAATGAACTTCTACCCTGAGTTAGCTAAAACCAAAACAGTAGTGGGGACTGCTATCTCACAAGACAAGGCAGGTAACTTTGAGAATGTAACTGAGAGCGCTATCCCTTCTGTTCCATCTCAATGTAGTGACTCAAAGCTGGTTAGTATTGTCACCCAGCAACCAATAGGGGTGAGTGAAGGCTCCTTTTTCATAGTTCAGGAAGAGATCAACAAGACTCTTTCCCCCATTGAAGTTGAAGAAACACACAATGAAAATTGGATTGTGTTCACAGAAAGTTTCCTATGTCTGTTACAATAAAAGAACCTTTACATTAAACTGAAATCAATACTAAAACAAGGACAATTCAAATCTTATCTGATCGAAACAGTTTAAAAAGTGATTTATTTTAAGTGTAAAGGAGTAATTTCCTGTTATGAAAAGAAGTTCGGTTTGTCCTCAAAACATATAAGCAAAATTTGGCAGACAACCAACTTGAACATGCTTACATTTGTTCTAGTTTCCAGAAGGAAAAAAAGCTTGTGAACAAGAGGTCTGAGTAAGAAAAAAACTAAAACCGTTTTGAGGAACAGGATATTTTGCCCTGCCCTTTCTTACACCTGCAGAGAGTTAACATTTTTTCTCAGTTTCTCAGTTTTCTTCATGACACAATATGATTTCTATATTTCTGGATGTGAGATTTTGGACAGGACTAGTGTTTGAATTTCTAAACTTAGATATGTTTGGAAATTATAAACCAGTTGGACTTCTTCTAGACACTCTATGATTTCATTTTTAATCAGATTTGGAGAACATAGTGAGAATGGGAGAACCCTGAATTGATTATGGTCAATGAATCTCCAATGTAAAAGCATTGTTTAAAACCATGAAACCTTGACATAAATGTTTCTGAAAATTACCACTATTAAAATAACTTGAGTCAAGTATTTAATTCAGGCATACAATCAGAAAATTGATTAAAGTTTAAGGAGTCACTTTACTCCTGTTGTGACCCTTTTACAGAATCTTATTTAATTCCCATTCCACTGGTGACCAGATATTTATGATTGTATAAAAGAGGAGCAGAAAGGTCTGGGCCCGAAACGTCAGCCTTACTGCTCCTATGATGCTGCTTGGCCTGCTGTGTTCATCCAGCTCTGCACCTTGTTGTCTCTTAATAATAGTGACCATTTGACTACCAGACTGTTGTAAAAACCAGAGATAGTAGGAACTGCAGATGCTGGAGAATCCGAGACAACAAGGTGTAGAGCTGGATGAACACAGCAGGCCAACCAGCATCATAGGAGCAGAAAGGTTGATGTTTCGGGCCTAGACCCTTCATCAGAAATGGGGGAGGGGAAGGGGGTTCTGAAATAAATAGGGAGAGAGGGGGAGGCGGATGGAAGATGGATAGAGGAGAGGATAGGTGGAGAGGAAACAGAGAGGTCGAAGAGGCGGGGATGGAGTCAGTAAAGGTGAGTGTAGGTGGGGAGTTAGGGAGGGGATAGGTCAGTCCAGGGAGGACGGACAGGTCAAGGGGGCGGGATGAAGTTAGTAGGTAGGAGATGGGGGTGCGGAATGAGGTGGGAGGAGGGGATAGATGGGAGGAAGAACAGGTTAGGGAGGCGGGGACGAGCTGGACTGGTTTTGGGATGCGGTAGGGGGAGGGGAGATTTTGAAGCTTGTGAAATCCACATTGATACCATTGGGCTGCAGGGTTCCCAAGCGGAATATGAGTTGCTGTTCCTGCAACCTTCGGGTGGCATCGTTGTGGCACTGCACGAGGCCCAGGATGGACATGTCATCTGAGGAATGGGAGGGGGAGTTGAAATGGTCCGCGACTGGGAGGTGCAGTTGTTTATTGCGAACCGAGCGTAGGTGTTCTGCAAAGCGGTCCCCGAGCCTCCGCTTGGTTTCCCCGATATAGAGGAGGCCACAACGGGTACAGCGGATGCAGTATACCACATTGGCAGATGTGCAGGTGAACATCTGCTTGATGTGGAAAGTCTTCTTGGGCCCTGGGATGGGGGTGAGGGAGGAGGTATGGGGGCAGGTGTAGCACTTCCTGCGGTTGCAGGGATAAGTGCCGGGTGTGGTGGGGCTGGAGGGGAGTGTGGAGCGGACATGGGAGTCCTGGAGAGAGTGGTCCCTCCAGAAAGCAGATAAGGGTGGGGAGGGAAAGATGTCTTTGGTGGTGGGGTTGGATTGCAGATGGTGGAAGTGTTGGAGGATGATGCGTTGGATCTGGATGTTGGTGGGGTGGTACGTGAGGACGAGGGGGATTCTTTTTTGGTTCTTATTGCGTGGACGGGGTGTGAGAGATGAGTTGCGGGAAATGTGGGAGACACGGTTGAGGGCGTTCTCAACCACTGAGGGGGGGAAGTTACGGTCCTTGAAAAACGAGGACAACTGAGATGTACGGGAGTGGAATGCCTCATCCTGGGAGCAGATGTGGCGGAGGCGAAGGAATTGGGAATAGGTGGATGGCATTTTTGCAGGAAGGTGGGTGGGAGGAGGTGTATTCTAGGTAGCTGTGGGAGTCGGTGGGCTTGAAATGGATATCGGTTTGGATGGCATTTTTGCAAGCTTTTGCAAGATTTCACAAGCTTCAAAATCTCCCCTCCCCCTACCGCATCCCAAAACCAGTCCAGCTCGTCCCCGCCTCCCTAACCTGTTCTTCCTCCCACCTATCCCCTCCTCCCACCTCAAGCCGCACCCCCATCTCCTACCTACTAACCTCATCCCGCCCCCTTGACCTGTCCGTCCTCCCTGGACTGACCTATCCCCTCCCTAACTCCCCACCTACACTGTTTCCTCTCCACCTATCCTCTCCTCTATCCATCTTCCATCTGCTTCCCCCTCTCTCCCTATTTATTTCAGAACCCCCTTCCCCTCCCCCATTTCTGATGAAGGATCTAGGCCCGAAACGTCAGCCTTTCTGCTCCTATGATACTGCTTGGCCTGCTGTGTTCATCCAGCTCTGCACCTTGTTGTAAAAACCAGTCTGGTACATTAACATCCTTGAGGGAAGGAAACCTGACACCCTTATCTGTTACAGGTAGTTCTGCTATAACGCATGTTTTGTTAATACAGATTAGCTGTAATGTGATTGATGAATAGTGGACACTGTTTGGATAACGCAAACTTTCTGCCGTGCATGTACAGCGATTTCCTTATAATGCGATTTTCTATGGCGATTTTCCACAGCGCAAGGTCACACAAGAATGCAACTATTGTGTTATAGGAGAACTATCTGTACATGTTATAAAAGATAATGGTTACTGAAAGAGTTTGCATAAAGCTGCATGCAATCTGATGTCACACAGGCTTTGGATGGAAAAGGAAGGCACTCTAGCACAAGGTTCTTGTGGAGACAGATAATTTTTTTCTGGTGTTATCATCACAGCTGATGTTATTACTGGATTAATCAGATCCCAGATTGAAAGCCAACTTGATAGATCATTTTCTGTCTTGATTTTTATTTAATGAGATGGCCTTCCACTTAAACAAAAGCACACAATACTGCAGAAAAATGTATAACGCAAAAGAAATTAAGATAAAATAGAATAAACAGTTACTAATAACACAAAAAATGGAATCCCATCAATTCCAAAACCATCATGTTACAACCAGAGAGAATTTCCTTCCCTCAGATTTACATATATTTGACTTTAACTGCCTCCTTCAATTCTCAGTCTTGTTTGATAGCCTCTTCCTTGAGTGTTCATAGAGCTAAGCTTAGATTTTCAAACATAGAATAGTTCCTTTCAGGCTTCTTGCCAAACACTTCTGGTTTGGAACTTTCAAATTAAATTCCTGACATTCAGGTAGCCTATTTTCTAACTGTTTTGAATTTTCTCCTTTCTTCAGAAGGAACTGTTCCTTACGTTTAATATCAGCCAGGAATTCTGCAAACCGAAACGCAAAAGGTTTTCAAGCTATGGATTTTTCTACGAGTACAAAAAAATTACTGACTCTTCTCCCAAAAGTAAGTGAATGTTTTTTAATGTTTACTCAGTGTATTTGTAAATCTCTCTCCCAGCAACTTTGTCTCTCTCATACTGGCCTTTTTTAAAAAAAAATATGGCTCCAGAAATACTGACAAGTTAATCATTAAACTCTCCTCAATGAATTTCATGGTTCAAGAAGGCAGCTTAACATTCCTTCTGGGGTGGCACGGTGGCTCAGTGGTTAGCACATTCTTCTCGTGTCTGCATGAGTTTCCTCCAGGTGCTCTGGTTTCCTCCCACAGTCCAAAGACGTGTAGGCTAAGTGGACTGGCCATGCTAAATTGCCCATAGTGTCCAGGGATGTGCAAGTTAGGTGGATTAGCCATGGGATATGCAGGGTTACAGGGATAACGCAGGGAGTGTGGGTTTGGGTGGGATGCTCTTTGGAGGCTTGTGTGGACTCAATGGGCCAAATGGCTTGTTTCCACACTGTAGGGATTCTGTGATTGTCAAAGTCAACTAGGAATAGGCAATAAATACTGGTCCTCACTTCCCATGACCAAACCTGTATGCTTCTAGTGAAAAATCCAAACGAAAATATACATTGAGTACACATTTTACATCACACTGACTCCTGATAGTCTTAACTAATTAAGCCTAACTTACCAATGTGACTTGAACCTATTGCTATAAACTGCCCCTTGTTGTGTAAGACAATTACCTCTTGTTAAGACTCACTAGTGGTCTATCCTTTACACAAATAATTAGACAGGCCTTTAGACTCAGCAGACAAACAAGGGCTTTTGACTTAAGATCATATGAAATAGGAACAGAAGTAGGCCGTTTGGCCCCTCAAGCCTTTTCTGCCATACAATAGGATTATGGTTGATCTGACATTTCTCACATTCACTTTCCTGTCCTTTCACCATAACACTTGTTTCGTCTCCTGATCAAGAATTCATCTTCGTCTTAAATATACACAATGAGTGAGCCCCACAGCCCTCTGAGGCAACAGCTCTCTGTGGCAAAGAGTTCCAAAGAATCTCAACTCTCTGAGTGAAGAAAATGCTCTCCATCTCAGTCTTAAATTTGCACCCCTTTATTCTTCGACTATGCCCTCTAGTCCTAGACTCTCCCATGAAGTGGAAACATCCTCTCAGCATTTACCCTGTCAATTTATTCCTTAAGAATCCTACATGAGTCAATGAGATCACCTCTCACTCTTCTAAATTCCAATGAGTAGAGTCCTAACCTGTTTAATTTTTGCTCATAAGATAATCCCTCCATGCCAGGGATCATCCTCGTGAGCCTTCTCTGAACTGCCTCTAATGAAATAATACCTTTCCTAAATTAAAAGGGTCAAAACTACTCACAGTACTCCAGATGTGATCTCACCAGCACCTTGTACAATTGCAGTAAGACTTCCCTACTCTTACACTCCAACCTCCTTGAAATAAGGGCCAACATTCCATTAGACCTGCTGATTCCTGCTGCACCTGTGTGCTAGCTTTGTTTGTTTCATGTGCAAATATCCCCAAGTCCTTTGTGTTGCAGCTTACTACAGTTTCTTTCCATTTAAATAATATTCTATTCTTTTGTTCTCCCTTCCAAAATGAACTTCATATTTTCCCACGTTATACTTGCTAACTGTTTCCCCTCTTACTTAACCTATTAATATCTCTCTGAAAGCTGTTTGTATAACCTGCTTTTTCACATATTTTAGTGTCATCTGCAATATTGGCTACAGTAGATTCACTTCCTTCCTCCAAGTCATAAATATATGTTGCATTGATCCCTGTGGAACCCCATTGGTCACAGGCCACCAATCTGAAAAAGAACACCTTATCCTCAATTGGTGTTTCCTTCCCATGAGCAAATTCTCTATCCATTGCCAATATCCTACTTCTAACACCATGGGCTCTTAATGGATTAACCTTTTGTGAGGTACCTTGTCAAATGCATTCTGGAAGTCCAAATACAACCCATCCACTGGTTCCTGTCTATCCAGTCTGGTTGAGACTTCCTCAAAAAACTCTAATAAATTGGTCAGACATGATTTTCCATTCATGGAGCCATGTTGACTTGCTTGATTAGATTATGATTTTCCAAATGTTCTGCTATTACTTCCTTAATAATTAATTCCAATACTTTTCCAACAATGGATGATATGCAAATCGGCTTTTAGTTACCCATTTTGCCTCTCTCCCTTTTTTGAATAGGCGTGTCATATTAGCAATTTTCCAATTGTCTGGTACTTCTCCAGAATCCAATGATTTTTTGAAAATTACAACCAAAGCATCCTATATCTCTGTATCTACCTCTCTTAGGATCCTCGGATGCAAGCCATCAAGGCCAGGGACATATCTGCCTTTAGACCCATTAGTTTGTCTAATAGTACTTTATTGATGACAAGGATACTTAATTCCTCCTCCATATTCTTTAGTGTTAATGGAATGTCCAAAGTATCTTCCGCTGTAAAGACTGATGCAAAATGTCTGTTTAAGTCCTCTGCTGTTTCCTTGTTCCCCATTGCCATCTCCCAAGGTTCAATTTCTCAGGGGGCTATGTCCATTTTGATCTCTCTCTTTTCATTTTTACGTATATTTTTAAAAACTCTTATAATCAGTTCCTTGCTAGTTTGCCCTTATAATTTATTTTCTCTGTTTTTATTGTCTTTTTATTTTTTTTTGGATTCTGATTTTATCCTAGTCTCAGGGTTATCACTGACTTTGGCCTCTTTATATGTTTTCTCTTCTACCTTAGTACTGTCCATAATTTCCTTGGCTAGCCATGCTTAGTTTCTTTTATTCTTAGACTTTTATCCTTCTTACTGAGGTGTATTTTTGCTGAGAGTCATGAATTACCTCCTTAAATGTCTGCCACTGCACTTACAGAATTGTTAATGATAAAAGAAAGCTATCAATTGGTTAATCTTCTCTCCAGTTTTGGATTATTAATTTAAGCCATTTAGTTCAATAGTTCTCTGTTCATTCCGTTTCAAAGTTGAGGCCTATATGTATTAATTCTCTTCTTCAGGTTATGTTGTTATATTCTTCATAGAATGCTAGGGACTATTTTTTATGTGAATGTATATCCTAGGGTGCCATATTTTCTTCCTGTCATGTGCTGAGTATCAATGTATCAGTCTGTCAGTTCACCAGCTATGTGAGCAGCAGTAACAAATATGCTTGATGAAGGTTCAGCATTTTGCATCTAAAACGTGATTATTTCCAACTGGAGGGAATCAGAAATTATAACGGTATTATTTGATAATGGTGTTACTTATTTACATGTGCTTAAACACTGCATTTTGTACCTGTGAACATGTGGGAAGAATGTGAATAGTTCAAAAGGCAGATTTTTTAAAATGTTAGTCTAGTTGGCTGAAGGATTTACAATTTTCGGAGTTTGTTTGGTTCTAGAAGCATAGGAACAGGAGTAGGCCATTCAGCCCCTCAAGCCTGTTCTGACATTCAATGAGATTTCATAGAATCCCTCCAGTGTGGAACAGGCCATTCAGCCCATCGGGTCCACACTGACCCTCTGAAGAGCATCCCATCCAGATCCACACCCCTACCCTATCCCTGTAACCTTGCAATTGCCATGGCTAATCTATTTAGTTTGCACGTTCCTGGAAACTATGGGCAATTTAGCATGGCCAGTCCACCTAACCTGCACATCTTTGGAGTGTGGGAGGAAACCGGAGCACCTGGAGGAAACCCACACAGACACAGGGAGAATGTGCAAACTCCACACAGACAGTTGTCCAAGGGTTGAATCGAACCCGGGTCCCTGGCACTGTGAGGCAGCAGGGCTAAACGCTGAGCTGCCATGCCACCCAAATCATGGCTGATCTGTGGCTTTGATCCATACCTATCTCTGGCCCATATCCTTTAATATCTTCGCTTAACAAAGAATGATCTATCTCAGATTTAAACTTAACAACTGATCTGGCATCAATTGCTGTTTCTGGAAGTGAGTTCCAAACCTTTGTGTGTAGAAGTGCATCCTAATATCGCATTTTCATAATGTTCTCAATTTAATGAAATCACTTCAGTTTCAAATAAAATTTGCTCTTAACCAAACTTGCTGTGCTTTGTTAAATGAGAGAGATAGAAGTCTATTGAATAATGAAACATGATGCAGAATATCTCAGAATTAGTTGGATTCACACAGGAAAATCAAAGATCTGAATATTAATACAGAGGTAGGATCCTGTGCAATGGGAAAAGTGAGCTGTATTTATTTAGATGAGCAGAATGTCCAATTTCAGCTTGGCTGGCCAATTAGGCATTTCCTTCTTGGCTTCTTGACTCTAAACTGAGACAAATGTTCACTGAAATAATACAATCTTAACTCCGCTGCCCTATTGAAACAATATAAAATGGAATTGGAAAGATCACTGAGGTTTTTGGGAAAAAATGAGGTGAGTTATTTGAGATGGATTGTCATGAAGGACAGACAAAGTAAGTGTATAGATTCACTGTCTCTTCCATTGAGCAACTGCTGGGTGCAGCATGGATGTACTGTACCTAGCAGAAAGGAATCTGCAACTGTCACTAAGAAGTGGGCAGAGAATTCTGAGGAAGTGAGCAGGAGGAGTATAATGCTGTGGTCTTAGAGGCAGTGCAGGAAGCGATCTAACCAGGTTAGGAGAAGCAGATTCTCCAACATGCTGCAGTATTCACCAACCCTCTCCTTGTCACTCATAGAATCATAGAATCTGTACAGCATGGAAGCAGGCCAATTGTCCCATTGAGTCCACACCAACCCTCTGAAAAACATCTCACCCAAACCCAGTCCCCCATCCTATCCCTTTAATCCCGCATTTCCTTTGGCTAGCCCACCTGTCCTACACATCCCAGAACACTTTGGGCAATTTAGCATGACCAGTTCCACTAACCTGCACATCTCTAGACAGTGGGAGGAATCTAGAGCACCCAGAGGAAATCCACACAGACACAGAGAGAATGCGCAAGCTCCTGACTGATTGTGGAATCAAACCCAGGTCCCTGTGAGGCAGCAGTGCTAACCACTG